GTAATTGAATTGGAGAACGCTGCTTAGATGCTCAGTTGTCCGGACACTCGTGCGATACCGATATCGTCTGATCGTACCCGGTACCCAGCATACAGTCACTCATGAAACGAGTGGGAGATACGGATATTCTGGTAGAATATAGTGAATCGAGGGATGGATTGTAATAAATGGTTGAGTCCGCGCGATTTATCATTCGTCCTTATCTGCCATTCGTTTCATGAGTAATTGCATGGTTACAGATACGGTCAAACGGTACCGGTATCGCAAGAGTGTCCGGACAACTGAGCAGTTGAGCAGCATTCTCCACTTCAATTACCTTCTACACGTAAAAACAAATTTCCCGAATTTTCGTACTCAATTCTATATTCTCTTATCATTATTATAAATATATTACTTCTAGTTGAACTTGTAGCATGGAGAATTTTTAGAACATTTTCGTTTTGAATTTATTGAATATTGCTCAAGAAAATCAGTAGTGAGTTAGAAACCCAGGGAACACCGTTTGTGTGCGTAGGATTATGCATTACAACGTTGGTCCCAAGCAGAAGCAAGTTTTCTCAAAATAAAAACGCGTGACAACGATGGGCCAGGAGGCGGTCCATCGTTGTCAACCTTTTTATTCATTTTTTTTTTCGCTCTTTTTTATTTCGTTTTTATTTTATTATCGTTTTTATTTTTAATATTTTTTGCATTTTTTTTTTTTTTTTTTAATTTTACGCGTGACAACGATGGGCCACCATAGGGCACTTATATTTACGGAAGCACTTCTTCCATTTGAAATCTTACACTAAATATATATATAGAAAGACTGTTGAATGTCTCAGTGAGTTTTTGCATGTTTTAGCTTGATAATGACAAATACTAATCAATGTGTTTCCACGATAACAGTAAGTTTTATATTAAATTGACATTATTGTGGCCTGAAAAGCCGACAACCTTGGACCACCCTGCTATAGACTATAGAGCGGATCGAACGAATAATTGAATCATTTCGACTTAGGATAGGAATTTCAGTACATAGAATTTCCTCACACATCGATGTTTATAATAATTTCACTGTCCATCTAGGTTTTATTAACTCGAGCCCGTTAGATCTTTGTTTAGACCAGTGATTCCCAAAGTGGGCGATATCGCCCCCCAGTGGGCGAAAACGATACACAGGGGGGCGAAAAAGTCGAAGGGGGCGATAGGGGGGCGATTTCGCGGAACCTGTTTTATGTTCGGCGCACTTAATTCTGTACGTTGTGTGCATTCGCAGGCTTGAATCATGTGGGCGATTATCACACGCGAAAGGATTTCTGAACTCGTCTTCGCAGTAAGGTACGTTAGTTTGCGTATCCCAGTGGTCGGCAAAATACGACCGGAGTAAAATAATCTGGCCCGGGAAGATTTACTGAATGGACCTTTCCCCGACCTTTGACTGTGGAAAATTCTTCCCATACTTTACCATTTTAAAATTGTCGGTGCTTATTTTAAAAGAGTGGTTTCACGAGTTGTTGCCTGTAAAATGGGGTATTTGTTTCAAACTATCTTTCTAATACACACCATTCAACAATCTGTTTTTTAAAAGTACCGATAAAGAATTTTGGCCTAGTCTATCACCGCTATTTCTACACTGATTTTTGATTGCTGTATCTAAACTGAAACTCACAGAAAGCCAAGTAATCATTGACTTATTTGATTTATATTTAAATTTCCGAAAAACAACTAAAAACTAACGAATATAATTCAAAAACGCGAAAATGAGGTAATATTCACGACCACGCCTGAAAATCTGTCTGAGTGAGCGTGTCTGAGCGCTTGAGCGGATGCGAAAGGGGGCATTGTTACGTTTTTTGCATCTTGCTGATTGGCCAATGTCACGAAGTAAACAAGGAAGTCTATGCCCGGGAAAACATCCAAACGGCGGTTTTGACGATAAATTTTTTTTATTTATAATCTACGCTCGAGGAGTAAATAACATTTTTTTACGTAACAGAATTTATCGTGAGAAACGTTTGGACTAAATTTTATTATATCCTAAAAATTCTATTGAGCAGCTACTCGTTTAACGAGCCTACAATATAATTATAATTAGACAAATGGAAACACGAAGAAAAGTTGATGCTGAGGGCAGGGGTTCAATAGCGCAGTCAATATTCGAATATAATGCAAAGCAATAAAGAAATAAAATTCATATTCTATTCGAGAGATTCATCACTGCTTAATTTTTGTAAGAATGTATCTTCTCAAAGAAAATCTTTATCGAAATTCCACAAATCATGCGAAAATATTCACTTCGATGTTTGGAAGTACCTATTTGTGCGAACAAATATTTTCGAAAATGAACATTACAAAGAACAAGCAAAGAACTGGAATTAGTGATGCCCATTTAGAAAATGTTTCAATCTTGGCGTCGTAAAGCTATCCAGCGTGATGCAGCAAAAAGACAGTGTCACATTGAATGTCATTGAAAAATTATTTAATAAGACGACTGAGTTGAGTTCACGAATTGTCGCAGTTTTCGCGCGCTGTTCCTTTTTTTTAACTTTCAAAAAATATATGCCACCCGCAAAAGCCTAGCAACCCTGAATTTTGTCCTGCGAGCGACATAAAATTTGCCGAAAACCTGGGCCGTAGCCGATAGTCGGTCATGGCTTCTTCCACATCCGAGTCCATGAATCCAAAAACAAATGGCTGGGTAATTATGGACTGGTGATCGGACTGGGGGCCGTGGTAGGATGAGGAATCGGGGATGAATTTTACCGAAGTATTTTGGTGCAGGTCATCAGGCTGTACGAATGAATGAGATGTACGAAAATCATTATTATAATTTTGGGAAAATTAACTTTGTTTTCATTATTTTAATGTGAAATGGGGTGAATTTAGGAAGTGAAATGCTATGAGGCAAGAGTACACGGCGGTTTTTGAGGAGGTGGAACCCTGGATTCTTCCATTTCCGACCTATTATATGGTGAAAAAGGGGTTTTCAGCCGTGCTACTATTGCTATCAAAACAACGAAGTTGACTTTCCACCAGTAAACGGGGTAATTTTCGATATAATAAAAAAAAACTCGCTGAAGAACACCAAGCTCATCTATCCTCATTAAAAAACAGTATAGACTATGATTTGTCTTCTTATTTGGTCTGTAATATATTCGTTTCTGACTTTACATTTTTTTGTATTGCCGGGGGGGCGATGAAGTTGTATAAACTACTTTAGGGGGGCGATGGTCAAAAAAGTTTGGGAACCACTGGTTTAGACCACTGTATATTAGTATTAGTGGTTTGGTTCCCCTTAATTCCGCGAGATTGTCTGAGCATCATCAACTAAACAGGCATGTCCAACCTTTTTTTGCCGCGGGCACTTTCAGATAAGGAAACTCGGGCCGCATAGTCGAATAAATATATATATATACCAGTTCTGATTTACGTTAGCATTTTCGCGTCGCTGAATAAAACGCTTGGATTGCACAAAGCTATTGCGAATATCTAAACACGTTTTACGCAGTGAATAAATTGCAGAAACGTATACCAGAGCCAGTAGCAAAGATATTGTACTTATTGGCGATAAGGATGATCCAAGCGTACACGAAAGATAATAATCATAATAAATAAATTTGGGTTGCAAATTTATTCCTATAATTTTCCTCGACCAATGATCGCACCATAGCTTTCGATATTGTTGAGCAAAACTCGTGGGCCTTCGAGAAATAAAGAAAACATCGATGTCGACCAGAGCGCAAGATCCTATATATAAAGCGCCTTACCCTATATAAAATTCACCGCTCGCTGTGGAGGGAGGTTGAATACAACAGGCTGAAATAGACAAAACAAAGCGTCTATATCAGGGCTTACTACAGCCAAGGTATATTGAAAGCGATGTCACCAAAATTTTCTTTTAGTCGTGTTTCTCGCGCATTTGAACGACGAGGAAAATTTTTTTTTAATAATAATTTACTTCATTTCTTATGAAAGGAGTCAATTGTGTCTCAAATTTGTGGGAGACATCGGGTTGAGTTTAGTTTATTTAATTTAGAAAAATACTGCGCTGGCCACTCAAAACTCTTCTGCGGGCCACGGGTTGGACGACCCTGTGCTAGACTCTTCGAGGAAAGCTTTAAGTTTATATTTTATGGCGCAAGTCCCTAAAAATGAGCTTTTTTATCGTGCGTTCCCTCGACAATACAGATAGCATGACATTCTAATCTGAAGTCTCGTTATTTCGAGAAAGGCATTGAAGTATTTTTCGTTTGCATGACTGGTCAGAATAATGGCAAACTTAAGTATCTTGTCACCTGAAGTTTTTATTTCAAACTCACGTCATGGTGTAATAAATTTGGAATCATTGCTGCAATACCGAAATATGGCGAGGAATCCACCATAACATGCAGCGTATAAGAAATAGTTCAATATACGCGAAAGGAACAAGACATGTAACCGTGGACGCAACAGAATTCGTTTGTATATTTTTCGAGGTGAATAGAATGGCTTGCAGACGTTACGGCCCACGCTGGTTTGAATAACACGAGTGTGGGTGTTTGGTTTCGAGGTGGTGGTACGGACGTCTTCTAATTTTGACACCAAGGCAATTTTATTTGCATAAATTACTCCCTTTCATTCTACATAGGTATATATACTAATTTTTGACTGGAAAATTTCATTATCCCGCTGCAAAACAATCGGCGTATGTCCTTACTAACTGATGGTATTTATCCTTACCGCGATCGGTCTAAATATGTGCTAAACAACAAGATCAGTGGTTCCCAACCTTGCCCCCTTTTTTAATTGAAATTACCCAATAATAATACGCACTGGTTCATACTAAAAAGCAATGAGTCAACCTAAACCAATTGCATATATGAGCCAAGTCTTGAGTTAAACCGCAGACTTGCATGTGAAGCAATTTTTTGTGCGAGATAGACCACAATGGGCAGTAGTTCCATTTCACTATTTTGTATTCATATTATGCATGCAATGCAGAGCTGTCCATTGTTTATGGACTCTGGAGTAGGAAGTTGTTGTGCCAGGACGCCGTGGTGGCTTTTATTGCAGTGATATACATAAAAACACATAATTTGAAATCCGTTTCAATTTGAGTTACACTTTTAAGTCAACTTTTAAAAAAATATGGATCTCCAGAGTTATGTGCACCAAGATTACGAACAACCCGAACATATTATGTGTACCGGGTCAGGGTTCAGGTTGTGGGCCATCTTGGTGCACATACTTCGGTAGCGCCAAAAATATTCATATACGCTACAAGATAAATAGTTCATTTTTATGTTTTCTTCGTACGAGTTGCGCTTGATATTTGCTGCTGTTATTCAAAGCAGGAATGGTGGTGAGACCGAATATGTACTCTGACCATAAGAAAAATATCAAATCTTATTCACTGACAAACATTCTGATTCAAATACATCAGTTGTGTATGAAAAAGTATTTTTCCTGAGAGAGGTTCATGTCCCAGGCGAGCAAAACTTTCATCCATCAGAAGTGTGGCAAAAGTGAATCAATGGTGCGAGAATGTTCATAACACCTTGCGCATATAATTCAAGTTATTCGTGATCAGATCCTGAGTGCAACTCTTCTTTGATTTCAATTACTTGAGGTGTTTGTAATTTATGCTGCGACGTCTCTTCGTTTTGATCGACCTGATAAGGAATAACGGTGCTCTCTGAATACATGTGATCAATACGTTCCTGTTCAACTTTGTCTGTATTTAAATCACTTTTGCATTTCGAATGGTTACGCTTTATGTGGGCGTTGACATATGCTTGTACGGCAAATTTTTTTTCACATATCTCACATTCATAAGGCTTTGCGTTGGAATGTACTGTTTGCATATGAAGAGTCAGACTACCTTGTTGACTAAATGTCTTTCCGCATAATTTACAGATAAATGGTTTTTCACCCGTGTGTGTACGCATATGAATATTCAGTTCGCATTGCTGCACCTTGATGACGCCACATATCTCACATTTGAATTGATATTCATTAGTATGTCTTCTCATGTGCAACTTTAAATTCTCTTTACGTGCAAATAACTTATCGCAAATTGTGCATCCAAATCTCTTCTCTTTTGTATGTGTAAGCATATGATGATTAAGATGAGACTTGCAGCCAAATTGCCGTTTACAGATTCCACAGACAAATTTCTTTGTATGTCGATTCATATGTTTTCTCAAATTACTTTTGTCACAAAAGCCCTTTCCACACTCATCACATTTATATGGTCTTTCCCCTGTGTGTTGTCTCATGTGAATAGTTTTACTCCGCATGTCGTTTAGTACTTTTTCGCAAACTTCACATTTATGTTGATTTTGTGTCTCATCGTAAAAATGCGATCGTAAATGGGCTGTCGAGCGACTCTTTTGAGTGAATGTTTTGCAACAAATTTCACACTCGTGTGGTCGTTCTCTAGTGTGTGTCGTTTGGTGGCTTCTGAGACCACTGATCAAACGGAAACTTTTATCACAAATACCGCATTGGTGCAACTTACTTTGATTAATCTTCCTTCCTAGATTTTGCGGATTATCAGGAAAGTGCAATCGTGAATGTTTTTCTAAATGACCGTTTTGAGCAAATCCCTTGCCACAAATTTCACATTTATGTGGTCGTTCCCCAGTATGTTTGTTTTGGTGGTTTTGGAAATGACCAATCCAACGAAAACTTTTACCACAAATACCGCATTCGTGCAACTTTCTCTGTTTAACAATTTTCTTTTGATTCAGTGGCATATCAGGGAAGTGCAATCGCACGTGGCGTTTCAAGTTACAATTTTGAGTAAATCCCTTGCCACAAGTGTCGCACTTATGTGGTCGTTCCCCGGTGTGCGTCAATTGATGGGTTCTTAGTTTACTAATCGAACGAAAACTTTTACCACAAATACCGCATTCGTGAGACCTACTTTCTATATCCTCCTCCATTTTGGTTGCTAGTATCTGGAAGTATTTCATCAGAATATTGAATGAAAGAAGCTGATTAAAGTGTATATATATGTGTAATACAATCGGATAAATAGTTTTATTGTAAAAATGTCTACCTAAATTATCAGATAATAAAAGTCACACGGGCGCTCAAGTTTTACCAATGATAATACACAGTCTGGTGCAAAGTAAATATCGCTAAGATAAGACACTCAAACTAGAATGGAACTACGTTTGTTATTTTTAGCGCTGGATCCCTCGAGAACGGGAAGGCTCAAAGTTTATCTATCGTCCATGGCGCTAGACTCTTTGTGAACGCGAGCACTCTGAAAATAAGCATTCTTCATCTTTTTTTCATTTAATATTACAGATAACATTGCATCCTAAGATAAGCTTGTATTATTACACTGAAGTTGAATACGGTTTTGTTTATACTTCATTATCTTGACTTTTTCGCGTCAAACTAATTTAGCTATTTGAAATTGGAATACTATCGCTGCAATACCAAAATTATTAATATCGAAATATGACGAAAAATCTACCATAACATGCCAGATTTAACTAAGTAATACTGGTCTTTAATGAAATTTGTTAGTATATTTTCCCTGACCGAGTGTCTGGAGATTATCGAATCTTTTGGAACATGCTAGATCAGGGCTTCGCAAACTAGGGGCCGCGAAAAAAGAAAACATCAATTTTACACAAGGTACTATATTTATTGTACTTTTTCAGACTCTTGATTCGAAATACAATTATTAAAAATAGTGTAAAACAAAAATACATCAATCATACCGTGTTTCCCCGAAAATAAGACAGTTTCTTTAATTTTCGTTCGAAAATACCACTAGGGCCTATTTTGGGGGGATGTAGAAAATAATGATATTTTTTAATATACAAAATATGAATACCGATTTCCATTTACTTATAAATAGCACGTTTTGATTTATGATCACCATGGTAAAAACCCTGCTTCATATAAATACGAAATCGCAAAGGGGATAGGTGTGCGCAACGATTTTTGAACAAAGGAAAAATAATCTTTATTTACATAAAACCGAATTTTCAGAATCAACCTTTTTTAATATAACACCATCACAGGCAAGATCGATTTAATCTTCCCTTTTTTCAGTAAAAGTAGAAGATATGGGTTGGTTGAAATATTCACGAAATGCGAAACTTTACGACACCCTAGCAAAATTGAAACGACAAACTTCCACCGGACTTTTTTAAAATCCAGGCTTGGTCCTATTTTCGGAGAAACACGGTAGAATCATCGCGCTCGCATAATATTGCATATTTTGATCGTAAGACCGTGCTTGCATAACAATGCCGGCTTTAATCGTTAAGCTAGCGGTTCCCTTAGGCGAAGTGCGCCTCGATTTTATTCATTGTAAATGTCTTATTGTTTCTCATTGTTGCAAATGATGAGAATGATCAAGTTCATTTTACCGTTCTATGTTGTTTACTTTCTGTTACGTAGGGTCTATTGTAACAGAAGAGATAAACCATGCAAGTTGCAATTTCGTAGTCTGTATTTATCCATTTGCTGAACTGAGTTTATCGAACACGAGTGATTATATAGCATTTTAAAGAAAAACCAGGCAGAGGTAAAAAAAAAAAGTTAACCTTTTGCCTTCATTCCTTAGGCCTACATGTTTGTAGCCCTCAAACGGCATAAAGTAAATATCAACGATGATTGTGTTTTATTTTGGAGCAGCATATTTTCCGTGTAGGTGTGTTTTCCTTGATAATTTGGCGCCGCACTGCCTTATGCTATTTTAATCAGTAAGAGTGAACAATTCCGGATAAGGACATGCCGGTGGCCAGACATCGTAATTCATCATGTAGGCCTGCATAAACAAACAATGAGCCACGGCTTGGCTGGCCAAGCAGCAAAAAGCATTTGCACCTGTTACACTGAATAATCGAGTAACGTTAATCTAAGTAAATACATGCTTGTTTTTGTTATTGACTAGGCTACTAAAAGTTGAGAATTAAAAAAAAAATATCGAAATGCATATTTCGAACTGCATTATTAACGTGAACAAGGACCGCAAAAAAAATATATTAAAAGGGGTCGCGAGCTCAAACGTTTGGCAAGCCCTGTGCTAGATAACCGGACCTCAAGTTAGAATCACATTATCAAAGTTCTTTTCGAAAGATTGTATTTTGCAATGCAACAATGAGAAATCTATATATTAGTAACAGGAGAGTCATGCTCAAATATATGGACACGTTGTGCTCATATGCGTTCGCGGAACCGCCACATGGTGGCAATTTTTGTACGTTACAGCACACAAAAAACGGATCCCATACAGCTTAACGGAATATTTAAAAGAAATAAAAGTAATAGCCTTCTAGCGAAAAATTCAATCCGCAAGCACTGAAAGTTTCAAAGGGATTGGTCCTCTGACAAGGAACAAGAACAACATAATATTAAAAAGATCCACTTACGTGTTCGATAATCCGTTGTGTATATTTAACAACACACGGAAAGAGAGATCATTGACCTATCTCGGTGACAATTACTCGAAGTGCAACGAAATGCGATCATTCATTGATATTTGGGATGATAACAAACAGTCTATACGAGAGATGAAGAAGACGGTCCATGACAGGAATGGCAAACATTTTTTAATGAATTGGTCAAACTTTTTTTTTATTATAGAACAGAAAAATGTGGGCCACAGATATAAAATCAACGGGAAACTTGCTAATCTTATAAACATTCGATGTGTTTGTGTATTTTTGAACTTTATAAACGCAGATTCATGTGCGAAAATAAATTACAGAGGAAACTTCATAATGTAGGGGTAAATCATTTTTGTGGTTCTAAGAGCTTGGACGGGAACTCCACTCTTATAGAATTATATGTTTTCCACACGCTACCGGAAAAGTGAATGTTGCCCCGCAGGTACATAAAGTTTGTCGATCACTGGGCTAGATGTGACAACCAGTAGCTACATAAGATTATACATGGACCCAGATACGTCGTCCGAATTGGGGGTTTCGAAAATTACTAAACCAGCTCAATACACTTCTAATAATTGCCACTACACTTATAACAATTCGTTTCATGTAAAATTATATTGAAGCTGTTTTTATTATCATTAAAATATTAGTATGTTTTTGCATTATTCCGTGATCGCGGTGGGTTACTATGTGACTCGTGACTGGTTCGCCATCCCTATTATAGATACTATGGTTTGATTGGGTAATTGCGACAGCCCTGTCCAAAACAATCTCTTTATACCCGTATTAACTGATGATTTGCAACCTGATTGCATGCTTCAATCAGTCTAAATATGTACTCATACGATTTGCTGCTTATGAAACTCATTTGGATTGAAAACACCCAATACTGACTTACTATTTTGTTTCCATATCATTCATGTAAAGCTCATAAACTCGAAAATCATTTGTGAAGCTGTATTTTAGTATTAGTGGTTTGGTTTCTCTTAATCCCGTGAGATTGTCTGAGTATCATGAAATAATTACAGACATGTCCAACCTTTTTGTGCCGCGGGCAACTTTCAGATGAGGAAACGCATTGCGGGCCCCATACTCAAATATATATATATGTACCAGTTCTGATTTACGTTAGCATTTGCGCGTCGCTGAATCAAACGCTTGGATTGCACAAAGCTATCGCGAATATCTAAACACGTTTTTACGCAGTGACTAAATTTCAGAAATTTTATTTAACGCAAAAATAACATACACACGATTGCGAAGTACAAACAGAAAAAAAACGTATACCGAAGCCAGTAGCAAAGATATTGTACTTATTGGCGATAAGGATGATCAAAGCCTACACGTAAGATAATAATCATATTGAATTAAATTTGGATTGCAAATTTATTCCTATAATTTTCCTCGACCAATGACCACCATAGCTTTCGATATTGTTGGGCAAAACTCGCGGCCCTTCGAGAAATAAAGAAAACATCGATGTCGACCAGAGCGCAAGATCTGGTACATGCTTGACGAGGAGAATCGATATTCGAATGTAGATGACCGGAATAAACAAACTAAAATTACGAAACACATTTTACCTTATATAAAATTCACCGCTCGCTGTAAATAGACAAATCGTCCATATCAGTGCTCACTACAGCCGAAGTATATTGATAGCAATGTCACCAAAATTTTCTTTGAGTCGTGTCCCTCGCGCATTTGGACGACGACAAATAATTTTTTTGGGTGTTTGGTTTTGAGGTGGTGGTACGGACTTCTTCTAATTTTGACACCAATGCAATTTTATTCGCATAAATCACTCCCTTTCATTCTACATACAAATGCCATTATCCCGCTACGAAACAATCGCCGTTTGCCGTTACTAACTGATGGTATTTATCCTGACCGCGATCGGTCTAAATGTGTGCTAAACAACAAGATCGGTGGTTACCAACGCCGCCCCTTTCATACGATTTGCTTTTGGAACCCATTTTAATTGAAACCACCCAATTATAATACGCTCTGATTCATACTAAAAAGTAATGAGTCTACCTAAACCATTTGCCTATATGAGCCAAGTCTTGAGTTGAACCGCAGACTTGCATGTGAGGCAATGTTTTGTGCGAGATAGACCACAATGGCCAATAGTCCAATTTCATTATTTTGTTTTCATATTTTGCATGCAAAGCTCATACACCCCCCTCCTCCACCGTTTATGTAGTAAGCTGTTGTACAAGGCCACCGTGGTGGCTTTTATTGCAGTAATATACATAAACACATAATTTAACATTCGTTTCAATTTAAAATACACTTTTGAGTCAACAATAAAAAAAATATGGATCTCCAGAATTATGTGCACCAAGATGGCGCACAACCCGAACATAGTATGTGTACCGGGTTAGGGTTCAGGCTGTGCGCTATTTTGGTGCATTTCGGAAGCGCCAAAAAAATTTATATACACTACAAGATAACTAGTTCATTTTGAAGTTTTCTTCGTACGAGTTACGCTTGATATTTGCTGCTGTTATTCCAAATCATGAATGGTGGTGAGGACCGAATATGTATTCTAACCATAGGAAAAATATCAAATCTTATTCACTGACGAACATTCTGATTCAAATACATCAGTTGTGTATCAAAAAGTATTTTTCCTGAAAGAGGTTCATGTCCCAGGCAAAACCTTCGTCTATCAGAAGTGTGGAATAAGTGAATAAATGGCGTGAGCATGTTCATAACACCTTGCGCATATAATCAAGTTATTCGTGATCAGATCCTGAGTGCAACTCTTCTTTGATTTCAATTACTTGAGTTGTTTGTAATTTAGGCTGCGACGTCTCTTCGTTTTGATCGAACTCATGAGGAACAACAGTGCTCTCTGAATACATGTGATCAATACGTTCTTGTTCAACTTTGTCTGTGTTTGAAACACTTCTGCATTTCGAATGGTTACGCTTTATATGGGCGTTGACATATGCTTGTACGGCAAATCTCTTTCCACATATCTCACATTCATAAGGCTTTGCGTTGGAATGTACTGTTTGCAAAGGAACAGTCAGATTACCTTGTTGACTAAATGTCTTTCCACATAATTTAGAGGTAAACGGTTTTTCACCCGTGCATATGAATATTCAGTTCGCATTGCTGCACCTTGATGACGACACATATTTCACATTTGAATTGATATTCATTAGTATGTCTTCTCATGTGCAACTTTAAATTCTCTTTAGGTGCAAATAACTTATCGCAAATTGTGCATCCAAATCTCTTCTCCTTTGTATGTGTAAGCATATGATGATTAAGATGGAACTTGCAGCCAAATTGCCGTTCACAGATTCCACAGACAAATTTCTTTGTATGTCGATTCATATGTTTTCTCAAATTACTTTTGTCACAAAAGCCCTTTCCACACTCATCACATTTATATGGTCTTTCCCCTGTATGTTGTCTCATGTGAATAGTTTTACTCCGCATGTCGTTTAGTACTTTTTCGCAAACTTCACATTTATGTTGACTTTGTGTCTCATCGTAAAAATGCGATCGTAAATGGGCTGTCAAGCAACTCTTTTGAGTGAATGTTTTGCAACAAATTTCACACTCGTGTGGTCGTTCTCTAGTGTGTGTCGTTTGGTGGCTTCTAAGACCACTGATCAAACGGAAACTTTTATCACAAATACCGCATTGGTGCAACTTACTTTGATTAATCTTCCTTCCTAGATTTTGCGGATTATCAGGAAAGTGCAATCGTGAATGGTTTTTTAAATGACCGTTTTGAGCAAATCCCTTGCCACAAATTTCACATTTATGTGGTCGTTCCCCAGTATGTTTGTTTTGGTGGTTTTGGAAATGACCAATCCAACGAAAACTTTTACCACAAATACCGCATTCGTGCAACTTTCTCTGTTTAACAATTTTCTAGTGCAATCGCACGTGGCGTTTCAAGTTACAATTTTGAGTAAATCCCTTGCCACAAGTGTCGCACTTATGTGGTCGTTCCCCGGTGTGCGTCAATTGATGGGTTCTTAGTTTACTAATCGAACGAAAACTTTTACCACAAATACCGCATTCGTGAGACCTACTTTCTATATCCTCCTCCATTTTGGTTGCTAATATCTGGAAGTATTTCATCAGAATATTGAATGAAAGAAGCTGATTAAAGTGTATATATATGTGTAATACAATCGGATAAATAGTTTTATTGTAAACAAATGTCTACCTAAATTATCAGATAATAAAAGTCACACGGGCGCTCCAGTTTTACCAATGATAATACACAGTCTGGTGCAAAGTAAATATCGCTAAGATAAGACACTCAAACTAGAATGGAACTACGTTTGTTATTTTTAGCGCTAGATTCCTCGAGAACGGGAAGGCTCAAAGTTTATCTATCGTCCATGGCGCCAGACTCTTTGTGAACGCGAGCACTCTAAAAATAAGCATTCTTTATCTTTTTTTTATTTAATATTACAGATAGCATTGCATCCTAAGATAAGCTTGTATTATTACACTGAAGTTGAATACGGTTTTGTTTATACTTCATTATCTTGACTTTTTCGCGTTAAACTAATTTAGCTATTTGAAATTGGAATACTATCGTTGCAATACCAAAATTATTAATATCGAAATATGACGAAAAATCCACCATAACATGCCAGATTTGACTAAGTAATACTGGTCTTTAATAAAATTTGTTAGTATATTTTCCCTGACCGAGTGTCTGGAGATTATCGAATCTTTTGGAACATGCTAGATCAGGGCTTCCCAAACTAGGGGCCGCGAAACAAATTTTAGGGGCCGCAAAGAAAACATCAATTTTACACAAGGTACTATATTTATTGTACTTTTTCAGACTCTTGATTCGAAATACAATTATTAAAAATAGTGTAAAACAAAAATTTCCGAGCGAATACATCATCATACCGTGTTTCCCCGGTAATAAGACAGTGTCTTTAATTTTCTTTTGAAAATAACACTAGGGTCTATTTTGGGGGGATGTAGAGAATAATGATATTTTTTAATATACAAAATATGAATACCGATTTCCATTTACTTATAAATAGCACGTTTTGATTTATGATCACCATGGTAAAAACCCTGCTTCATATAAATACGAAATCGCAAAGGGGATAGGAGTGCGCAACGATTTTTGAACAAAGGAAAAATAATCTTTATTTACATAAAACCGAATTTTCAGAATCAACCTTTTTTAATATAACACCATCACAGGCAAGATCGATTTAATCTTCCCCTTTTTCAGTAAAAGTAGAAGATATGGGTTGGTTGAAATATTCACGAAATGCGAAACTTTACGACACCCTAGCAAAATTGAAACGACAAACTTCCACCGGACTTTTTTAAAATCCAGGCTTGGTCCTATTTTCGGAGAAACACGGTAGAATCATCGCGCTCGTATAATATTGCATATTTTGATCGTAAGACCGTGCTTGCATAACAATGCCGGCTTTAATCGTTAAGCTAGCGGTTCCCTTAGGCGAAGTGCGCCTCGATTTTATTCATTGTAAATGTCTTATTGTTTCTCATTGTTGCAAATGATGAGAATGATCAAATTCATTTTACCGTTCTATGTTGTTTCTATCTGTTACGTAGGGTCTATTGTAACAGAAGAGATAAACCCTGCAAGTTGCAATTTCGTAGTCTGTATTTATCCATTTGCTGAACTGAGTTTATCGAACACGAGTGATTTTATAGCACTTTAAAGAAAAACCAGGCAGAGGTAAAAAAAAAAAAAGTTAACTTTTTGCCTTCATTCCTTAGGCCTACATGTTTGTAGCCCTCAAACGGCATAAAGTAAATATCAACGATGATTGTGTTTTATTTTGGAGCAGCATATTTTCCGTGTAGGTGTGTTTTCCTTGATAATTTGGCGCCGCACTGCCTTATGCTATTTTAATCAGTAAGAGTGAACAATTCCGGATAAGGACATGCCGGTGGCCAGACATCGTAATTCATCATGTAGGCCTGCATAAACAAACATTGAGCCACGGCTTGGCTGGCCAAACAGCAAAAAGCATTTGCACCCGTTACACTGAATAATCGAGTAACGTTAATCTAAGTAAATACATGCTTGTTTTTGTTATTGACTAGGCTACTAAAAGTTGAGAATTAAAAAAAATATATCGAAATGCATATTTCGAACTGCATTATTAACGTGAACAAGGTCAGTCAGTCGTTTATTTTTCACCAAAATGAAACATACACGTAATGCGAGCAAAAATTAGAGAAAACATAAATAAAGGCATTTCATGGTGAAGGGTGACGCGAAAAAACCAATGTTGGTTATCTAGCAGCGACACCTGTGATAAATGTCTAACTTTGATACAAGTAGAATAGAATAAATCGAACACATTTAAGCAGTGAAGGAAAGAATGTCCAAGAAAATCCAAAACCGTAACAAAAAAAGAGACTCCAGGCACAACCAGGGTAATCATGGGCAACAGTATAGTAATATAACAGCAGTCCAACCACAGTCAGCGTCATGGAACCCTACAAGAATATTGCTTTTGAGGCCGCGCGGTATGATAGTGGCCATGTACGCCGGGAAGGACCGCGAAAAAAATATATTAAAAGGGGTCGCGAGCTCAAACGTTTGGCAAGCCCTGTGCTAGATAACCGGACCTCAAGTTAGAATCACATTATCGAAAGTTCTTTTCGAAAGATTGTATTTTGCAATGCAACAATGAGAAATCTATATATTAGTAACAGGAGAGTCATGTTCAAATATATGGACACGTTGTGCTCATATGCGTTCGCGGAACCGCCACATGGTGGCAATTTTTGTACGTTACAGCACACAAAAAACGGATCCCATACAGCTTAACGGAATATTTAAAAGAAATAAAAGTAATAGCCTTCTAGCGAAAAATTCAATCCGCAAGCACTGAAAGTTTCAAAGGGATTGGTCCTCTGACAAGGAACAAGAACAACATAATATTAAAAAGATCCACTTACGTGTTCGATAATCCGTTGTGTATATTTAACAACACACGGAAAGAGAGATCATTGACCTATCTCGGTGACAATTACTCGAAGTGCAACGAAATGCGATCATTCATTGATATTTGGGATGATAACAAACAGTCTATACGAGAGATGAAGAAGACGGTCCATGACAGGAATGGCAAACATTGTTTATTGAATTGGTCAAACTTTTTTTTTATTATAGAACAGAAAAATGTGGGCCACAGATATAAAATCAACGGGAAACTTGCTAATCTTATAAACATTCGATGTGTTTGTGTATTTTTGAACTTTATAAACGCAGATTCATGTGCGAAAATAAATACAGAGGAAACTTCATAATGTAGCGGTAAATCATTTTTGTGGTTCTAAGAGCTTGGACGGGAACTCCACTCTTATAGAATTATATGTTTTCCACACGCTACCGGAAAAGTGAATGTTGCCCCGCAGGTACATAAAGTTTGTCGATCACTGGGCTAGATGTGACAACCAGTAGAATAGAATAAATCGAACACATTTAAGCAGTGAAGGAAAGAATGTCCAAGAAAATCCAAAACCGTAACAAAAAAAGAGACTCCAGGCACAACCAGGGTAATCATGGGCAACAGTATAGTAATATAACAGCAGTCCGACCACAGTCAGCGTCATGGAACCCTACAAGAATATTGCTTTTGAGGCCGCGCGGTATGATAGTGGCCATGTACGCCGGGAAGGACCGCGAAAAAAATATATTAAAAGGGGTCGCGAGCTCAAACGTTTGGCAAGCCCTGTGCTAGATAACCGGACCTCAAGTTAGAATCACATTATCGAAAGTTCTTTTCGAAAGATTGTATTTTGCAATGCAACAATGAGAAATCTATATATTAGTAACAGGAGAGTCATGTTCAAATATATGGACACGTTGTGCTCATATGCGTTCGCGGAACCGCCACATGGTGGCAATTTTTGTACGTTACAGCACACAAAAAACGGATCCCATACAGCTTAACGGAATATTTAAAAGAAATAAAAGTAATAGCCTTCTAGCGAAAAATTCAATCCGCAAGCACTGAAAGTTTCAAAGGGATTGGTCCTCTGACAAGGAACAAGAACAACATAATATTAAAAAGATCCACTTACGTGTTCGATAATCCGTTGTGTATATTTAACAACACACGGAAAGAGAGATCATTGACCTATCTCGGTGACAATTACTCGAAGTGCAACGAAATGCGATCATTCATTGATATTTGGGATGATAACAAACAGTCTATACGAGAGATGAAGAAGACGGTCCATGACAGGAATGGCAAACATTGTTTATTGAATTGGTCAAACTTTTTTTTTATTATAGAACAGAAAAATGTGGGCCACAGATATAAAATCAACGGGAAACTTGCTAATCTTATAAACATTCGATGTGTTTGTGTATTTTTGAACTTTATAAACGCAGATTCATGTGCGAAAATAAATACAGAGGAAACTTCATAATGTAGCGGTAAATCATTTTTGTGGTTCTAAGAGCTTGGACGGGAACTCCACTCTTATAGAATTATATGTTTTCCACACGCTACCGGAAAAGTGAATGTTGCCCCGCAGGTACATAAAGTTTGTCGATCACTGGGCTAGATGTGACAACCAGTAGCTACATAAGATTATACATGGACCCAGATACGTCGTCCGAATTGGGGGTTTCGAAAATTACTAAACCAGCTCAATACACTTATAATAATTGCCACTACACTTATAACAATACGTTTCATGTAAAATTATATTGAAGCTGTTTTTATTATCATTAAAATATTAGTATGTTTTTGCATTATTCCGTGATCGCGGTGGGTTACTATGTGACTCGTCGATCAGTGGTTCGCCATCCCTATTATAGATACTATGGTTTGATTGGGTAATTGCGACAGCCCTGTCCAAAACAATCTCTTTATACCCGTATTAACTGATGATTTGCAACCTGATTGCATGCTTCAATCAGTCTAAATATGTACTAAACTACTAGATCAGTCGTTACCAACCTTCACAACCTTAACCCCTCATACGATTTGCTGCTTATGAAACCCATTTGGATTGAAAACACCCAATACTGACTTACTATTTTGTTTCCATATCATTCATGTAAAGCTCATAAA